GGGTCTTCTGGCTCCAAAGTCAATATTCATTCCAAGAAAATAAATACTTTACCAGTGGCTGCCAAAGCAGTTTTCTATCTGCTTACTCTAAGGATTCTTTTTCCTTTAAGTCTTTATGCCAGAAATGTTTAAATACATCATCAGCTCCTACAGTCTCTTCCATACAAACCTGTGTTCATGAACACCTTTTAAGCAAATCTACCATATGTAGTGGCTACAGAATACATGTTGTAAGGATTCCCCCTGGATCTGTACTTGTATGCAGTGATAAAAATCTCAGGAAACTTGGTATTCACAATAGTTGCAATTCAGAAAAGAGTCTTTATAAAATGTTCTGTTTCTGTGCCTGCTCTTAAACAGACTGATATAAAGTAATTTAATACCTTCCTGACTCTATATAAGAATTATTACAGGGCAATCACTCCTATAGCCAGGCCCTGTGGGTCACATATCAACTCAAAGGAGTGGAAAAACATGAACCTCAACTTCAAGGCACCTGCAGGCAGGTAGCAGAGTGGTGGTAGTGAAAGAAAAGAGAGGAGAAGATGATTACTACTACTAAGATAAAAAAAAAAAATACATGTGTAAGTGAGGGGCAACACATAGTACACATAGTTGAGAGCCTTCTCGCACAATCTAAGGTATACCCAGACAGAAAGAGCAGCATTATCCAATTCAGGAGGAAATCACAAGTTGTCACATCCAGAACTTGTTGTCTAATGGTCAAAATGAAGAAAAGGAAGAAACAGAGGTTAAATGCCAGCTTCTAAGGCAAGAAAGAAGATAACACACTGAGGGGACAGGTATGTGAAACACAAGACAGGTCACCCACAGGGGAAAAGTAAAGGTTAACTAACCAGATGGATTCTCATCCAAGTTCTATAAAACATTAAAAAAAGAATTAACACCAATACTCCTCAAAGTACTACACGAAATAGAAAAGGAGGAAACCCTTCCAAACTCATTCTACGAGGCTAGTATCACCCTGATACCAAAACCAGACAAAGACACATCAAGGAAAGAAAACTCAGACCAATATTCCTGATGAACATAGATGTAAAAATTCTGGATAAAATTCTAGCAAATCGCATACAAAAACATATTTAAAAGATAGTGCACCACAATCAAGTGGGCATCATCCCAGGGATGAAGGATTGGTTTAACATATGGAAATCAATAAATGTAATTCATCATATTAATAGACTTAAAAACAAGAATCAAATGATCATCTCAATAGATGCAGAAAAAGCATTTGACAAAATAGTGCACACCTTCACGTTCAAAACAGTAGAAAAACAAGGGATAGTAGGAACATACCTCAATATTGTAAAAATTATACATTCTAAACCCAAGGCCAGCATCATTCTAAATGGAGAAAAATTGAAAGCATTCCCATTAAAAACTGGAACAACACAAGGATATCCTCTTTCACCACTTCTATTCAACATCATCCTTGAAACTCTGGCCAGAGCAATTACACAAAAGGAAGAAATTAAAGGGATACAAATAGGTAAAGTAGAACTCAAAACTATTCCTTTTTGCTGATGACATAATTCTATATCTAGATGATTCAAAAAATTCCACCAGAAAACTTCTAGACAATGAATTCAGCAAAGTAGCAGGATATAAAATCAACACCCATAAATCAAACACATCCCTATACATCAGTGATGAATCCACTGAAAAGAGAAATTAGGAAAACTACTCCATTCACAATCGCCTCAAAAAATAAAATAAAATAAAATACATGGGAATCAATCCAGCAAAGGAGGTGAAAGACCTCTACAATGAAAACTACAGAACACTAAAACTAAAGAAAACCTCAGAAGATGAAAAGATCTCCTATGCTCCCAGATAGGCAGAATTAAAATTGTCAAAATGGCCATACTACCAAAAGTGTTATACAGATTTAATGCAATTCCTATTAAAATCCCAATGAAATAGAAAAGGCAATCATGAAATTCATTGGGAGGGGGGTGGGGGTTAAGCCCTGGAATAGCTAAAGCAATCCTTAGCAAGAAAAGTGAAGCAGGAGGCATCACAATACCAGACCTTAAACCATACTACAGAGCTATAGTAACAAAAACAGCATGGTATTGTCACTGAAATAGACTTGTAGACCAATGGTACAGAATAGAGGACACAGAGACAAACCCACATAAATATGGTTATCTCTTACTAGACATGGGTGCCAAACACATGCACTACAGAAAAGATAGTCTATTTAAGAAACGATGCTGGCAAAACTGGAAGTCCATGTGTAGCAATATGAAATTAAACCTCAATCTCTCACCATGCAAAAAAATCAACTCAAAGTGAATCAAAGACTTAGGCACTAGAACAAAGACCGTGTGCCTAATAGAAGAAAAAATAGGCCCAAATCTTCACCATGTTGGCCTAGAATCTGACTTCCTTAACAAGACTCCTAAAGCACAAGAAGTAAAATCAAGAATCAATAAATAGGATGGATTCAAATTAAAAAGCTTCTTCTCAGCAAAGGAAACAATTGATAACGTGAGGAGAAAGCTTATAGATTGGGAGAAAAAACTTTACCACATGCACCTACAATAAAGCATATAATCTCTAGGATATATAAAGAACTCAAAAAACTTAACTCCAAAAAAACAAATAACACAATCAATAAATGGGCTAAGGAACTGAACGAACACTTCACAGAAGAAGAAATACAACTGATCAACAAATATATTAAAAAGTGTTCAATATCTCTAGCAATTAGAAATACAAATCAAAACTACTCTTAAGATTTCATCTCACTCCTGTCAGAATGGCAATCATCAAGAATACAGGCAATAGGGCTGGGGATGTGGCTCAAGCGGTAGCGCGCTCGCCTGGCATGCATGCGGCCCAGGTTCGATCCTCAGCACCACATACAAAGATGTTGTGTCCACTGAAAACTAAAAAATAAATAAATATTTTAAAAATTCTATCTCTCTCTCTCTCCTCTCTCTCTTTAAAAAAAAAAAAAGAATACAGGCAATAATAACTGTTGACGAGGATGTGGTGAAAAGGGTACACTCATATATTGCTGGTGGGACTGAAATTGGTAGACCCACTGTGGAAAGCAGTATGGAGATTCCTCAGAAAATTGGGAATGGAACCACCATTTGACCCAACTATCCCACTCCTTGGACTTAAAATCAGCATATTATAGTGACACAGCCACAACAATGTTTGTAGCAGCTCAATTCACAATAGCTAGACTATGGAACTAACCTAGGTGTCCCTCAATAGATGAATGGATAAAGAAAATATGGTATATTTACTCAGTGGAATATTATGCAGTTTTAAAGAAGAATGGAATTATGACATTTTCCAGTAAAGGGTTGGAATTGAAGAATATCAGGCTAAGTGAAATAAGCTAATCTCACAAAACCAAAGGCCAAATATTTTCTCTAACATGAGGTTGTTAATTAACAATAAGGCGGGGGACACTAGGGAAGAATAGCATTACCTTAGATTAGGTAGAGGGAAGTGATGGGAGGGGAGGGGATATGAGGATAGGAAAGATAGTAGAATGAAACAGACATTATTACTCTGTGTGTGTGTGTGTGTGTGTGATTACATGACCAATAATTGTGCAACATGTACACTCAGAAAAATGAGAAACTATATTCAATCTATGTATGATATTTCAAAGTGCATAAATGCATTCTACTGTCATGTATAACTAATTAAAACAAAAAAATTTTAAAGTGTAAAGGTAGAAAAGAAAGTGCACACTTAGGCAGACATACATACAGAACCTTGCATCATCACCTCATCACCCTCTCATTCGGTTAAGCAAATGAAAATATTCATATGGGTCTGATCACAAACCACAAAGAGTACTGGAAGCCATTCTGCCTAAGCTTGTGATAACGTAGGTGAGGAAATGGTTCCCAGAAGTACAGTTGTTTGTCCAAAGCCACAAATGTTGGTGGCAGAATAAATATTAGAGACCTGGTTGGTGGTCTCTCAAGTCTAGGCTCTGCTACATCTACTGCCTGCTTTCCAGTATTTATATGATTTTATATTACTCCTACCACCTTTCAAAGCTCACTTCAAATATAAAGTTTTGTAAAATGAATTTTAATGATAATAAAGTTTACCTCCAAATTATTTATTCTACATTAATATAATCTTTCAAAGATCTACTGGGAAATACCCTCAGAGACATTTATACCACTCTTTTCCTAGAGTAGTTATCCTAGAAAATAGAATGTAGATGAGTTGTCATAAGTCATTGCTGTTTATTGTTTTATCATTATACATAATGGTCAAAGTTAAAGATAATAGTGATAATATAAATCTACCCCTAAGGCATATAATGGAGTCTATATGCTTAATAGCTAATACTGAAAATATACATACATTAACTACTGAAAACAATTATTCTTACTTATGAGCAGTGATAACTCTTTCCCAAAGACAATAGTCTCTACAATCAGTCTTATCTTTGACTACAATATTCTTTCATAAGTGATCAAGAGTCAACATCAGTCTATTCCCAAGAACAGAAAAAACAATCATCATTCTAAATAAGAAAGCAGAGACTTCATCCAAACTCCCAATGTTAAAAATTCAAATTAATGTCCTCTTTAATTCTGACAAATCTCCAGAAAAGTTCTGCTACTAACTTTTCAGATTCCTTAAGCAAATTACAGAATACAGGAGCTCACATACTAGATTTTACAACAAACCCTTCAACAAATGCTCAAATAAGTACAAATTCCTAACAAATCATTTCAGACTAAAAATACCTATCAGTCCATGGACCTCAAAATGGTCTGCAGTCAACTTTATATAGACAAGTCACCATTGAATTTAAAGTTTCTCAACAAAACCTGGGCAGAAAGGAATACAATCATTATAGCCAAAAACTTCCTTAAGCCTCACATAAATCTGAATCCACCAAATGAAAGAAGGAAAGCTCTTCAATATGTGCATAATGTGCAAATTTGAAAACTCATAAGCAAATGAATATTAAACAAGGAACTTGCCAAGACTTGGGCTCTCCAAAGTGGAGATAATTAATGCTGTAGAGGTCCATGTCCTCAGTGTGCCACGCAAATGTGGTTTTCCACATTCCAAAATAAAGATAAGGGGTATTTACACCCTCAATAGAAATACCGCACTCTTCTTCAACCACATCCAAGACTGTATTTAGACGAGCTATGTTCCATTCATCCACACCCTGGAGAAGGAAGCAAAAGAAAGAGAAATCAAATGTTAATAAACTAAGAAAGATAACATTTACTATTCAAAACTACCACCAGCCAATCATTATACTATATATTTTAATTCATAGAAAAAAATGAAATATATTATTATTCAAGAGCCACATATGTATATTCATTACTGCTAATCCAAAATTACTATCAACATCGTGAACTTCTACATAACTACTTTTATAAAATGATAACAAGTAACTTCTTGATTCAAAATGGAAATGAAACTTGAGACCCGACTTCCCACTTGCTTCTAATAAAAAATTATTTCAAAGCAGGTGACCCAGTGTGTGATTTCTGTCTTTGGCATACCATTTTGTTTTGAGAGGCTAAATTTTCTTGTTTGTTTCTTTTCTATACATTAGTTTCAAGGTCACATTCAATACCAAACATCATCTCAAGAAACCAGTAATAGAAGTTATCTTCTGTCATCCCTCATCCATGTAGCAAGTGATATCATTTCCTAAAAACTACATGCTATTTTTTTTAATTGCAGTATTCAAAACCAAAGATTAATGTACTTATAGTGATCCTTCAATTAAACAGTAACCTTAGAGTTGAAGAGAAAAAAATATAAAAGGGGGCTCTAGATGTGGTTCAGTGGTTAATACTACCCCACCCCAGTTGAATCCCCAGTAGGAAAAAATTAAAAATAAATCAATGGATACACAACCTCTGGAAAATAAAAACATAAATTCTTAAAACTGAGGTAATAAATACTCTACTATTTTCTAGTAAATCTTGCCAGAAAGCTTCCCAAAAGCCACTATCAAACATGTGAGAAATGATTTAAAAAAAAAAAAAAAAAGCTTTGAAGTTCAGTGCTGATGTTTTCCCCAATGATGGGCAAATAACCCACCTGCTGCAGCAGTTTCTTCTGGGCAAGGCAAGGTTGCCATAATGCTGAAACATAATTTATTTTGCTAAAATAAACAATCTTAAAATTTCAATTACAGAGTTATGCAAATATTAAGAAGAGTCAATATTGACAAAGAGAAAGAAATCTTATTGCTTCAAATTTTCTTCTCCAGCATAATCATGAACCACAATCAATTTTCTATGCATGTATGAGTCTGTCAGGATGAACCCAACTACTAAAAATAACCATAAAGCTCTAAAAATTTAAAAAAATAAAAATTAAATAAAATTTTGTCTCCAATTTTTTTTTTAATTCTTTATTGTTGGTTGTTCAAAACATTACATAGTTCTTGATATATTATGTTTCACACTTTGATTCAAGTGGGTTATGAACTCCCATTTTTTACCCCGTATACAGATTCCAATCTTTGTTCTCCACTATTAACTAACTTGGGTAACTGCCCCCAAAGACCAAGTCCACAAAGGTTCTTCTAAAGAGACCCAGGTCCCCTTCACATGTGAAAACGAGGAGTAAAGCTGGTTTAACACTTACCTGAACTGTGCACCTCTTTACAAAACACATATTCAAAACAATCCCGTAAAACAGGTAATATTCTCAAATGAAGAAATTAATATTCCCAGGCTAGTATAAGTTTAACAACTCTATGCTTCCAGCTCTGATACTTACACTTCACAGCGTCAGTTGTCAAAAAGAAGTGAGGAGCTAAAATTTAGGGGTGGCAAACACATACAAGCTGTGACATTCTTGCCACTCAGGGGTACACACAAACACTTCAAAGCCTATAATGCAAACTTCACTTGAAGAGTAGTAGTAGACTGGGTTTGGTTAAAAGGAGTCTCCAGAAAGTCTCCAACTACAAACAAGCCCCCACAATAGTCAAAATAGGTCAAAGGGTTCACTTTCCACAGAGTTTGAATACCAGTCCAAGCCCTCAAACAAATGCCTCTTCCCACATTCCATCCCTATCCAACAAAGCTCTTCCACAAGATGTTCAGCAGGTGTGGGGGCCAGCATTTACAACTCTCTTGACCTCCAGGGGATGTCTCTCCCCGTACCCTAATCACCAAGTCACTATGCCAGGCCTGTCCTGCATCTGTTATCTGAAATCACTCACCACTGGACCATGATTAGTAACTGAAAACTTTCCATCACTGTAACCCCCTCCTATCAGGAATCACATGGCAGTTCAAAAGAAGTAAATCTTAAAAATCCAAAACAAAGGTGGCAGCAGCTAAGAAGCAGGCCACACTGGACTCCCTGTATAGTGACTGCCTCTATAGTGTCACCAGAAGACTGAAGTACACATTGCAGCATTATGACAGGATAGAAACCTCAACAAACAATAAGCCATTTCTAACAAACAAGGAGGAACAGTGCAAACATCATACAGGCCCAATGTTCCCCAAAATATTTCCAATGAAACCAGATGCTGTGATCAAACATTTTTGGCCTCATTTTATCCTCCTATTAGATAGTCACAGTGTTGGGCTGCGGATGTGGCTCAAGCAGTAGCGCGCTCGCCTGGCATGCGTGCGGCCCGGGTTCAATCCTCAGGACCACATACAAACAAAGATGTTGTGTCCGCCGAAAACTAAAAAATAAATATTAAAAAATATATACATATTCTCTCTCTCTCTTTTAAAAAAAATATATATGTATAAAAAATATAGATAGTCACAATGCTAACAGGAAACCAAAAGACGCCCTACTGTTCAGGCCTTAAAGGTTCTGGAATCTTATTTAACTATCTTAACTCCATACTTCTCAAATATTATCTGACAATAGATGCTTGTCCATTTATAATGGACGCTTGTCAAATTATAATGCATTTACATTCTGTTAAAAACAGTATTGTGCAGAACAAAACATTAGAGGAAATGTTATAGTAGATAGTTCTCTACTACATGCCTCAGCCCAAACGTAAGACAAAAGTAATTCTGAACCACATCAGAGAATGCATTTCAGAACCCAGAATGTGTAAGAGGGTAGATAAATTATGTTCACATCTATTATCATATTTCACACATATAATTTGATTGCGTAAATTAAAAACACATTGAGATTCACTCTGCACAAAACTCAAAATGAAATAATCAAAGACTTAGGAATTAGACCAGAAACCTTACAATTGCAAGAAGAAAGCACAGGGTCAACACTCCATCACATAGGTACTGACACAGACTTCCTTAACTAGACCCCCAAAGCACAAGAAATAAAACCAACAATCAATAAGTGGGATGCCATTAAACTAAACAGCTTCGGCACAGCTAGGACACAATTCAAAGTGTGAAGAGTAAAACTACAGAATGGAAAAAAACCTTGGCCAAGTACTCCTCCGATAGGGGAGTACTCTCCAGAATAAATAAATAAATAAAATAACCCAATCAATAAATGGGCAGAAGAAATAAACAGAAACTTCTCAATGGAAAAAACACAAAGGCCAACAAATAAATGAAAAAATGTTCAACATCTCTAGCCATCAGGAAATGCAAATCAAGACTACATTAATATTCCATCTCACTCTAGTCAGAATGTCAAGGATCAAGAATACAAACAACAAGAAATGCTGACAAGGTTGTGGGGAGAAAGGAACACTTACTTATACATTTTGGGAATGCGCACTATTATAACGACTCTGGAAATCAGTTTGAACAGTCCACAAAAAACTAGGGGTGGAATTTCCATATGACTCAGCTATTCCACTCTTGGGTATTTTCCAAAAATATCTAAAAATCCACATACCACAGCAACACAGCCACTTCAATGTTTATAGCAGCACAATTCACAATAGCTAAATTATGGAATCAACTCAGATTAAGAAATCTTGGGGGAAGCATGGAAAAATTGGAAGAACTTTAATCCGGCAAAGGGAAGGGAGGGGAAGAGAGGGGAGGAGGTATGAGGCAGGAAAGATGGTGGAATGAGATGGACATTATTACCCTAGGTATCTATGACTGCACATATGGTGTGGCACTACATCGTGTACAATCAGAAAAATAAAAAGCCGTGCTGAAATTGTGTACATTGAGTCAAAATACATTCTGCTGTCATATATACCCAATTAAAATATATAAATTTTTAAAAAGTAATAAATACAAAGATCTCAATTTTTAAAATGGGGGGGGGGAGAAATTGTGCGATACACACAAAAAAAAAAGTGAATGAAATTATGGCATTTGCCAGTAAATTAATGGAAATGGAGAATATCATGCTAAATGAAATAAGACAAACTTAGAAACTCAAATGTTGAATGTTTTCTCTCATATGTGGATGCTAATATAATGGAGAGGCGGAAGAAAGGATATGATAAGTTAAAAGGGAAGATCAATAACGTAGAAGAGATCAAGAGGTAGAGTGGAGAGATGTGTAAGGGAAGGCAATACTGAATGAATTTTTTAAAAATCATGTTGTGTGCATGCATAAATATATGATAGGGAACTTCACCTTTGTGTCTAGGTAGAAAGAACCAATCAAGGAGTTGGGGTTGTGGCTCAGTGGTAGAGTGCTTGCCTGGCATGTGTGGGGCACTGGGTTCAATTCTCAACACCACTTATAAATAAATAAAGGTCCATCAACAACTAATAAAATATTTCTTAAAAAAAAAGAACAAATCAAATATAAACTACAAGATGAGTGAAGTAAGAAGAAAAATAGAAAAAGGAAAGAAGGACAGGAGGGATAAGGGGGAATCGTGAATTGAAATCAAATTCCATGCATGTATGAGTTTTGGGGGATAAACCCAACTACTATGCATAACTAAAAAAGCTCTTTTAAAAAAAATAGAGATAGTGTAAACCAAAACATTAAAAAAAAGGTACTCATAAGTCAGACACGTTGGCACATGCCTATAATCCCAGCAACTCAGGAGGCTGAGACAGAAGGATCACAAGTTTGAGGCCAGACTTAGCAACTTAGCAAGGTCCTAAGCAATTTAGAACTTGTCTCAAAATAAAATAAAATAAATGGCTGGGGATGTAGATTAGAGGTAAATTATCCCTGGATTCAATCCCACTATCCAAAACGCACGCGCGCGCGCGCACGCACACACACACACACACACACACACACACACATAAATGAAGAGAG